ATGGTACATTTATATTCACATCATTTAGATTTTAGAATTATTATGTTACGTTAAAATTTTGTTATATGGCGCATTAGTCACAGGACATCTTATAATTATAGGATTGCTTCATAAGTTGAGTTAAAGTTAATAAGATGTATTTACAGATTGTATGTATTTTTTCATTTTTATATAGGCCTAGGGTATACATGAATACATGATACATTAATAAATGCCCATTTTGTAACTCTTATTCTGTCTGTTTTTATTATAAAAATGGTGACATTCTGACAGCTGATTATGGTAGAGAAGAGACTGCAATCTGAACATTCTTTATCATATATCATCAAATATAAACAAAGTGACAATTCAGCCGGGTATATTGTAAACTGTCGGCTATATAGTGACTATAGTTAAATATAAAACTTTTGTTTGTGCTAACTTTTACCAAGCTTCCCGTTAATGTATACGGTAAAGGCGCTGCATTTGGAAAGTGAAACGCAATCTGGGTCGGGTTGTGTTTTGTCTGACTTAGCATATTTTTTCTTAAATAATTTTTTAAACCTTTTTTTCCACCTTTTCTAATTTTCAGAAGGTTACGGTTAGCAGTTAAGATGAAAATGTTCTAGAGTGTGTATAATATAATTTCCATACCCAGCGCAAGCAGAAAGATGTCTGCCGCGGCTGCAAATTTTTTTTCCGTAGACAGTCGGACTCCTCATTGATAGTCGGACGCATCATTGACCCGCGCCCTTAAACAAAACATTCAGCGGATACTATTCTTATTAGATGCGCTTCCCAGTGTGTCTTGCGCACGCAATTGTTGATTTCTGTTTTTTGTAAATATTTTCGGAGCGATTGCAGAATACCCGTCCACTTTTAAGCCATGCCTTTCAAACATCATGGATACGATGTACTAATACATGTATATTTCAATTCTCTATAGATTAATAATAAATAGATTGATAGATTAAAATCCCATGGTGGTAAAGGTAGCAACGAGGCATACGGTAACTTAGCATTAATAGATCAAATTGTCATGGTGTTAAATCTAGCTGACTAGCTCTAATTCTAGTACGTGGATACGCGGATACGCAGTCAAGTAGTTATTTCGAGAACGAGGCATACAGTTAGATTAGCATTAGATCAAATTCTCATGCTACAGGTAGCTAGCTCTATATTTTAGCGGATACGTGGATACGCAGTCAAGTAGTTATTTTGAGATTAAGGCGACAGTTAGCATTAATAGATTAAATTCTCATGCTATAGAGAGTTTAAATGTGGTGTAATATGTAAGTATGTTCCTCACAACCGGACATTGGTGTTTGACAGATTATGATTAATTAGCGTCGCTGGGAGAAAAAAAATTATATTATAAAGCATACTAAGCATAATATTAAACATTAAAAGTCATGCATGATATTTCCTTTATAGTATCAATTCGTAATATTGTCTTAGTAATCAGTTTGTGTATATTAGAACGAGGCAATAAGATTTGGTATATACGTATCCAGTGAAATAGTGGCCGGGCTACATGATATGATATTACTAGTGCACGGGTATTCTGCAATATTTTTATTTGTGGAAAGTAGTCTTGATGGTCGCTTTGAATCTTTCAGTATTTTCTTGCACACTAGTTATCTTATCCTCGTTCTCTTCAATTGGGATATATAGTTTTACTGACTCGCAATAACAGTTCTTAAGTATTTTCGGAACAAGAAAAACAAGTTCGTAGATTTGCTATGGCATCGCGAAGCAAATCGTTCACCTTTCTACACGTGGTCGAAGAACAATAATGTGGAGTGATGGATATATGGTGCACCAGTGGGTTACGAAGGGATCCATCAATAACGCGCGGAGGCCTGGACGCTGGTCAATGATGCGTCCGACTATCAATGAGGAGTCCGACTGTCTACGGAAAAAAAATTTGCGCCGCGGCTGGGTCTTGAACCCGCGACCTTCGAATACATACACACTCTAGAACATTTTCATCTTATCATATTACGGAGTGTACAATAACAGAACTTAACAAGATATTATGGTTAACTGAATCAAAGGCTTTCCGAATATCAAGAAAAACTACAACGTTCAAACCGCCGTTATCCATACTTGCGTACCATGCATCACACATTTGAATAAGTGAATGATCGAGTGGTCGAGTTCTTTTGGGCGGAAACCAGATTGACACTTAGAAAGCAAGGAGTTCTCATCCAAAAATAGGTACGCTAGGCGTACATGTATCTGCGAAAGAAATTGCATCGTTCCTGTGAAAAAAATTTCATGCACAATTATTGAGTAAACATTTATATATTTTTGAAGTGACTATACAGCCGGCAGCCAGCTATTTGGTAAACTACTGGCTATACAGCCGGCTATTTGGTAAAAATGCTGTATATATATATATATATATATATATATATATATATATATATATATATATATATATATATATATATATATATATATATATATATATATATATATATATATATATATATATATATAAGAGACAAACTTGAGTTACTTCGTTTAAAACATTTATTCACGACAAATTTGTTTCGTATGGCATTACGCTTTCCTAATGACGTCAAACATTTGTATATAACAGCTCAAGTTACCTATAGGTTATAACATCATGTAAATACGCGATATCACCATTCACCTGATGAGTGTGGCAAGCCTAGCTTGCCATACGAAACAAATTTGTCGTGAATAAATGTTTTAAACGAAGTAACTCAAGTTTGTCTTTTATTTGCTCTACTTTTGTATCGAGCACTCTATTCTTATGATTCGACACTCAATATATTTATTGACATTCGCCTATATATATATATATATATATATATATATATATATATATATATATATATATATATATATATATATATATATATATATATATATATATATATATATATATATATATATAGCCAGCATTTTACTAAATAGCCGGCTGTATAGCCAGTAGTTTACCAAATAGCTGGCTGCCGGCTGTATAGTCACTTCAAAAATATATAAATGCTTACTCAATAATTGTGCATGAAATTTTTTTCACAGGAACGATGCAATTTCTTTCGCAGATACATGTACTCCTAGCGTACCTATTTTTGGATGAGAACTCCTTGCTTTCTAAGTGTCAATCTGGTTTCCGCCCAAAAGAACTCGACCACTCGATCATTCACTTATTCAAATGTGCGATGCATGGTATGACAGGGGCGGATCTAGGGGTCGTCAAATCAGTCGCGCGACTGAAGTAAAAATTGCCTACTTAAAAAAATTCAACTCCAGCTATCTATAGTGACCAGTAGATCGAGTTACTAAAATTTTGAATCGTACCGGTAGTTCAGTTATACATTTCATGCTGCGGCAGAACTTCGGCAAAGTAATGTTAGTCAGTCACGAACAGCGGTCTTACGCATGAAAGTTGACGGATTCGGGGGTTAATCCGGCTATCTGATTGGCTGACACGTTCATTTCCATGGTTACGGCCATTTGCGACGGATCTGTGGGGAGGCCTGACGGATTCGCAGGTTCAGGGGCTCTGTATGAGCCTTCTGATTGGACCATTTAAAAAAATTCTGCACTGTCATTGGCTTATATTTTCGACGGATTCGCAGCGTGAGGTATTCGTCAACACGGCATTAGTGATAGTTTATAGTGTTTACTTGTGTTTACTATTTCGAACGTCTATCTGAGGAATTTTACTATTTTTACGAGCGATTTCTACCAGCGATATCTGGCAACATTTTCAACAATGTTCATGCAGTTTGCGATTGCGGCAAACGATTTGGATTCTCTACATTCTCTACAACGTTTGTATATGGAGCTTGAAAAGAATATCGATGCCTCACGGACGGATTTTGTTGAGAAGCTACTGAGCGGCGCCATCAACAGCACAAGCAGAAGCCTCGCTAGAAATTTTGGCGCAGAGAGCTACTGCTAGAGAAACACAATTAGCTCACACTGCAATAAGGTAGATAAATGTATGGTTTTATAGTTTATATTAAACCGGAGTATCGAGCCATCGGTGTTGTTAATGATTGTCTGACATATGATATTTTAATATATTCGCTTACTGTATTGCTCTATTAGCATAATTCTCGCGAGAAGCTAAAATATGTTTATAATATTCCATGTCCACATTGTAAGCATTTGTTGATTCTCATGTTAGTGAAGTTTTATTTAAAATTTCTTTATATTTATGCATTAATCACACAACATGTACGCCTTAAGAGTATTGTTTATCCATAGCGTATCGACATGACTTGTTAGACCGCATTGGTCTGGTGTAACATGATGATGTGAAATAATTAATAAGGTAGCTTGAAAAGCTCATTGGCTGGTAGCCATTCTGATGTTACTCGTTTATTGATAGTATATTTTGTGTTCAATATATAGACCACAGTGAGACTTTATTAATAGTAAGAGTTTATTAATATTTGACTTAACATCTTTAATTTAGTTAATGAATATCTGGTTGTTTTTTAGAGCTCAGGCTACTGGCAGTTATTTGTATAGTTCTGTGTATTTCCTTAATACATTTGCTGCCATATGATTTTAGAAGTTTTACAATTATATATATAGTACCAATATGACGACGATTCATTAATCCACAGGCAAGGCATCAATATATCTTTGTGCATTTGTAGTTTTTCTTACCGTGGATAAGAATCAAATGTTCGTTTGAGTTTATCAATTTAATCTAAATATGTTTCATAATTTGGTCAATTAGGATTTAGGTTAATAGGTGGGGACCAAATCGCATTTTACGTACGTAAAATTCTAAAAATCCAGTGGCGGACTATCAGCATAAAAATTATTTGGTGCCGCCCCCCCCCCCCGGCTGGAGTCGCCCACGCCGAGCGCCGGTAATGCCCCGTCCGCCAAAATTTTTTTGACTGAGGTACGAAAAATCCTAGATCCGCCCCTGATGGTATGCAAGTATGGATAACGGCGGTTTGAACGTTGTAGTTTTTCTTGATATTCGGAAAGCCTTTGATTCAGTTAACCATAATATCTTGTTACGCAAATGACGTTTTTCGTTGGTGACTCGCTGTTGCAAAGTTGTAGTTATGCAGACTTGTAAGGTTTTTATGGGCGCTTAGTTGGGCAACGTAATTTTCTGGCACTTCAGCATCCATCCATAAAATAAAAGTCTTTCGAAAGGAGTGATTCGATATCTTCACGGGAAAATTCGCAGCTTTGAAGATGAATTTTCCAATCTCGTTTTTTCCGAGCGGCCCTTCCAATTCTGGTTTACGACGCCAGTTTATCGCTGGGAAGAACGGTGAATCTGGTTGTTTCATTTCGGCAGGACGGTGGGAAGCAAATACCTTGAACAAATTAACTGGACAACAATTGTTGTTTGTTGCTTGAGCAGTGGGATTGAATACTCGTTGACGTTGACCGTCACCGTGGCTTGTTTTGGATCCTCTTTCTGCCTTCCATATGAGAATTGCATTACTGGTTTCTTGATCTTTGTCACGGAGCAACGTTGCCCCATTGAAGTCTCCTGAACTCGTTACGAGCCCCGAAACCAAAACGAGGAGAACCAGTGCTGTAGAACTAAATTTATAGGAAGGGGAGCTTTCTAGTCGAGCATGTTACCAATGATGAAAACGTTCTAGAGGTCCGTGTGCATGCTTCCCCAGAAACATTTTAAGAAAAAAATTCTAGATTCTCTGAAATGCCATTTCCTGCACCTAGGGGAAGATTTTACAGAATTTTTGCTTAGTGACGAAGAAAGAAAAATAGGAATCGTCTCCCTCATCTCCCCACCAGGATACGCTCTTGGTCGTTTTTGTTCTCCACAGAAATTGAATAACACGCAGTTCACATAAGTTTACTCAACATCGGAAACCAAAACAATACATACGCGGTCGCGCTACCAGGCTGGGCATGCGCTATTTATTAAGCAGGAATCTATTCGTACGTTGTGTAAATTTTAAATATAGTCCTTTCGTCCCCCCTTCTACACCACTGACGGGAACTCACCAAGCAGTCCTCTACATGTCCAATACCTATGCAAGATGTCCGATGGAAAAATCAAAAGGCCATTGGACATTCCATTTGTCAAATGGATCAAATGGACCTCCAATTTTCCATTGGACTTTTGCGTGTCCATTGGATCCAATGGACAAATGGAATGTCCATTGATCAGCAATGGATCAATCGGAACTATGCATCAACGGAATAAGAGACCATGTGAAGGTTGCCGATCGGAACAATGCATCAACCGGATAAGAGCTTTCGCGTTTTTACCATTACGTAATTAACAGGTTGCAAGACCCCATGTGGACATGATTATGAAACCAGAGAGATGGATCCAATGGACCAATTATTGTCCAATGGAATTTTACTTGTCCATTGGATCCAATGGAAAAATAACCTGTCCATTGGAAAATGACCTGTCAATTGGATCGAATGGAAAAATAATATGTAAGTCAATAGACATTTCTTATATCAATAATATAACAATATGTTGTTGCTTCCTTCTTAAGAACTCACGCAATATATATCAACATAATTTTGCTTCGTTCTCAAGAGACCACGCGTACATAACACGGGAACGGGAAGATCGTTATATGAATAAATAAATATAATATGTTAGGCCTACTTTGGGGGCCAAGGTCGCCGTTATTATGTGCAACATTGTGCGACATTAGGCGACATTGGCAATTTTCAAAGAAAAGTAGTGTGCGTCGCTGGGCAAAACTGGGCGACATTGGGCGACATTAGGCGACATTGGACAAAACTGAATGTTCAGCAATATCCAGATAATCTCAAATATTATAATTCACAAATTATGCATCTACATAAAAAATACAACAGTAAATATCAAAATATAATTTAGTTATCAAAAATTGGATCCTGTGGCAACGAACACAATTAGTTTATTACAAACAGTTTGCAAAAATAACAAGGAACATTTCTCTAACTGCTAGCCTGACAATTTACTCAAAGTTTATACCGTAGTACACATACATGCCCAGTGCATGGTACATTTACAGTATCATGGAACTCTGAATTCTTAATTATTAAATTGACTGGTGTAAACACCTCATAGAGTTTTAAAACCTGTTTATGGACTGTAGTATGCAGTGATAGAAGTGGACAAGGTGCTAATAAATTTGCTCGTTTAAATGTAAGCCAATAAGCTTGTGTTTTAACCAATCATATTAACTTTAAACGTTAGTTGAGAGGCTTTCAACAGTTGCAAACTTTTGATTAGTATAGTTTTCTTGTAGTTACAGTATAAATTATAAAGTTAATATGTCCAAGTGTACTGTGTACATCGTGGTGTTTGGTATTGGGGTTTTTATTAGTAAGGAAAAAAATCACAAAATAACGATAAAAGTACCTTGTTTGATGTATTTCCAGCAAGAATCAGATATAAATTAATAAAGAGAAACAAGAATTGAATTCACAAAAGTTTATATTCGTTAATATAAAAAAATGCTTAAAAGAAATGGCGGCTGGGATTTGAGCCCGCAATACCACGGCACGTCTAATTTAATGGTTTAGGTTCTAACTTGTACTACTTCGTGTAAGGAAACATAATAATTGATTATGGCGGGCCTTGCCCTTGGCGACATTTTATAATAACCAGCTGTACCGTAGATCTTTCTGTGGTGCGTTCATTGCTCTGTATCTTTTGCGATGATACCTAATTATGAGATGTCGATCATCGCAGCTTGGTCGAAAAGTAAGTAATTTTATTTTACAAAGTACAAAGTCGTATTTTGAACATACTATAGATGACTTTCTTTATTATTAAAACTGTCTGTACCAGTGTTGGTAGTACCAATGTGAAAATGCTGTGCTGAGTGGTTATATTACTACCTTAAAAAATAAGCAGAAACTCGCCGTTTCGAGCGAAGGCCCTGGGTGAAGAGTTAGTAGCCACTAACTCTTGACGTAGACTACTAACTCTACCACTAACTCTTGACGAAGGGCCTTCGCTCGAAACGTCGAGTTTCTGCTTTCTTTATTATAACTACAGACGGTACCGTTTCGGCCTTTAGGATACCTAGTGTACTTCACTAGGCTAGTGAGAGGTATTCTGTACTTTAGCACTCGCCAGTTATCATGAATGTATCTTTGATAATAAGATCTAAGTTTGATTTCATATACAACATTTAATGGCGTGTGATTGACTAATTTGACTGAGTTTCACAAAGAAACACATTGGAGAAGATAGCCAGAAGGCTGCCTTAACAACATAATTTAGGTAATTCTCATTGGAATGATGCGTTGTAATTCCATATACATATAAACCCCAAATAACCAAGCCTCGTTAGTACTGGTGAGAGATGGTGCCCTAACAGCACATGCCCTTGGTGTTTGGTTACATGTATTTATAACAAAAAACATGCAGGAAACTAACAAATAAATAAGGAATAGACTAGAATGGACGACAAACTCAAAGTGCAAAATTGGGCATGCTTGTGCGAGATTATGCGACATTAGGCGAAATTAGGCGACATTAAGCGAATAGACTGTTAGGCAAAGTTCAAAAATTGGGTGCACATGGGCGAAATTGGGCGAAATTAGGCGACATTAGGCGAAATTAGGCGACATTAGGCGACCTTGGCCCCCAAAGTAGGCCTTATGTTGTTGCTTCGTTCTTAAGAACTCACGCAATATATCAGTCATAGAGCAATATAATGTTGCTTCGTTGCTTTGTTCTCAAGAGATGCGCAATATATCAATATAGCTAATATAGTAGTTGCTTCGTTTTCAAAAACCACGCAATATATCATATACCAATATAATATGTTGTTGTTTCTGAGAAAGCTACACGCAATATATCAATATAATATGTTGTTGCTTCGTTCTCAAGAGACTACGTATATAGCCTAACGAGGGAAAGGAAAGATCCTTATATCAATATGATATAATATGTTATAATTGCTTCGTTCTTAAGAACTCACTCAATATATCAATTTAGTATAATTACATAGGTGATTATTGAAAATTCTCCACGCTGATTGGTTGCCGTTGAGGTGATTATTACGCGATAATCACCTAAGCGATTTTCAAAATGGCGGCCGAAGCCGTTTTGTCAATAGACAACTTGCATGTTAGACTAATTTTTTATTTAGGCAAAAAAATTAAATTCCCGTAAAGAACTTATTAAAATCAGTAAAATTGCAAAATTTGGTTGCGAAATGTTGTAAAATACAGAAAATATAGCCTTGCGAAGTTTGCATATTTTCAGTATGTTTGTATTACGTGCGGAAATTGTTACCATTTTTGAGCCGAAAATGGTAACAATTTCCGCACGTAATACAAATATACTGAAAATATGCAAACTTCGCAAGGCTATATTTTCTGCATTTTACAACATTTCGCAACCAAATTTTGCAATTTTATTAATTTCATTATGTTTTTTTAACTGTTGTGTTTTATTCCCTTCTCTTTACTTAGATTAAAATTTAGTCTAACATGCAAGTTGTCCATTAAATGACAAAGAGATGTGCATTTTTAATTTTTTTTCCAAATAATCACCTATGAAATTATACTAAAACAATTATTCACCTCAGGCTCGGTGATTATCGTGAATAATTTACTCAATTTATTCACCGATAATCACCTCGCCTTCGGCGAATAATTGTTAAATAATATGTTGTGAACGTTCAGTTAAGAAACTGATCACGCAACTAGCAAAGCATAATATGCTATATATGTCGTTATATATGTCGTTCCCTTGTTCTCAAGAGACGCGCAAGATATCAATAGCCTATAATATATTTTTGTTTCGTTCTCAAGAGACCACATACATAACATGGGAACGGGAGATCCTTATATCAATAATATGTAATATGTTGTTGCTTCGTTCCTAAGAACTCACGCAATATATCAATATAATTTTCCTTCGTTCTCAAGAGACCACGTAAATAACACGGGAACGTGAATATCCTTATATCAATAATATAGTATATTGTTGCTTCGTTCTTAAGAACTTACGTAATTATATATTAATATAATATGTTGTTGGTTCATTCGGTTAAGAAATCACGCAATATAGCAAAGCATAGGCTAATATGCTATATACGTCGTTGCTTTGTTCTCAAAAGACGCGCAATATAGCTAATAAAGTAATATAGTAGTTGCTTCGTTTTCAAAAACCACGCAATATATCATATAGCTGAATATAATATGTTGTTGTTTCTTTCTTAAGAAACCTACACGCAATATATCAATATAATATGTCGTTTCTTGGTTCTGAAGAGACCACGTATATAACAGGGGAAAGGAAAGATCCTTATATCAATATGATATAATATGTTGTTGCTTCGTTCTTAAGAAATCACGCAATATAGCAAAATAATTATGTTGTTGGTTCGTTCAGTTAAGAAACTCATCACACAATATAGCAAAGCATAATATGCTATATATGTCGTTGCTTCGTTTTCAAAAACCACGCAATATATTATATATATAATTAAAAAACTCATTAATAATTCATGAAGAAAACACAAAGAAAAATCATAAGCGTGTCGTATCTGTATATGTGATACAGATTCATGTTGATTTACATAAATTTTAACTTTGATTTTCTCGGCTTTGACAACGTTTATTTTTAAAATTACTTCGCCAATGAACTCATAAGCTGAGTCGCTTTTTGTTGATAGATACAACACGGCCGCTCATGTTGTAAACATTACATATAATATGTTGTTCTTTCTCTCTTAAAGTCGTGTTTACACTACAAGCCTTGGCCTACATTTTGGCAGTGTAAACAGACTTTGGCCTAGCCTTGGCCTGACCTATAGGCCAGGAAATCTGGTACGCTTGTGGGAATGTAAACACTTACGGCCCTGGCCTTATTTTCATGGCAACGTGTGTCCACAGGGCACTGTGAATATCGGACAAGCGGACAACGTCACAACACATAAAAATACACAAAATTAATTACAAAATTCTAGGCCAAACTGAGCCAGTCTCAAAAAAATAATGTTATGGTGTAAACGCGGCACATTTACCAAGGCTTGTAGTGTAAACAGGACTTTAGTCAAAGGTCTTTACCGCCTATGCGCAGGATATAACCGTCGTGGGAACAGACTGTAAACTCAGAAAGTCTTTGGCAGTGTGTGTGCGTCTTTTTTGCAGGAATACGACGTCTTATCATGCATTTAATTATAACATTTCCTTTAATTAATTGCCTCCGGCATCGGCTTTAGTTACCTACCGCCTGGTCATCTTGTTGCGCTCTGCAACACGTAGCTGAAAATTCCAAGCGTAATCCTGTTAAACAGTGCAGATCGTGTAAGATGTCTGATCACGGAACTGGCCCATTGCTAAATTGGGTTATTTGTTCTAATCCAAGTTGTGGAGGCTGTTATCATGCAGTATGTACCAAGTTAGGTGAGCTTTCGAGCTCTGCGTTGGCTGCTATTTACTGGATTTGTCCAAAATGTGTGGTGTCCGTAAAACCTGTATGGGTGAGTAAAGACTCTGATGATACTTTGCCCACTTGTGATACTGCAGAGCCGTCGACATCAGCAATATCACTGGATCAAATCAAGAGTGTAATGGAAAACTTGGTCAAACAAGTTGTGCCAAAGCTAGTGGAGGATGTTTTATCTAATAATGTCAATTTTGGTGCTTCTGCTGATAGAAGCACTAATCTAGAGTCAACGGATGACAGTTACTTTAAAGTAATACAAGAAAATAATGAGCGCGTCAGAAAAGGCGCTGCAATGTGGTTGTCAGAAATGTAGAGGAGTCTCATTCTTCGGATGCTGAGGAAAGAAAAAAACATGATGAAAAATTGTTTACAGAAATTGCAGACCAAGTGGATTTACAGGATAAACCAGTGAAGATTATGCGTCTTGGTCGTTTTGATAATTCTCCTAGATCCCAACAATATAATCGTCCTATGAGAGTTGTTTTCTGCAGAGAAGATCCTGTTGTCCACTTAATTACAGCTAAAAAGGTTGTGATGCATGATAAAGTTTATTGGTTTGGTAGAGATCTCACAAAGCATGAAAGAGATTTGGAGTTTCAGGCACGGAATAGAAGGCGTGAAAGACAGAAACAAAACCAGCTTGGTAGTACCTTGCCAACTATATACAAATGCTGGGTCATTGTTTAATAAGATGAATGAATTGAAATGCTTGGCGTTTGATAGAGATTTGGATTTTATTTGTATAACTGAATCACATTTTTCTGGGGATTATACTGATGCTGAATTAGATATTCCTAATTATAATATTTACAGGAATGACTTGAATCCAAGTGGAGATCTTTGCATCTATGTTCACGTAAGGCACACTGTTCAAGTTCTAGTGAATAAATCTATTCGTGATTTTATGAGTATAACAGTATTCTTGGATACTGGAAAATTGCACTTAGTGTGTTTGTATCGCTCACCATCTTCAACTGTAGAACAGGATGTACTTGTGAGAAATGAATTGGCTAAGTTACCTTCTACTGATACTGATCGAATTATACTTTTGGGTGATTTTAACCTCCCTGATGTTTGTTGGGTAACTGGCAGTGTTAAAGGCCCTGATAATACAACTGATAGGAAACTCATTAACCAGCAGGAGTATTTTGATTGTATTGTTGCTAATGGATTTTCGTGGCATATTACAAATGAAATCACTCGTAGGAGGTTTGTTTGTGGGGAGTTGCAGGAGTCTACTTTAGATCAAATATTAACATCAGATCCTGATATTATCGATGACATTATTTTTGGTCCTCCTCTTGGACGTAGTGATCACTTGACATTGGAGATTCGCCTTAAGCTATATGACGACGCCAGTTACTTGACCTCTGTAAAGTATAATTGGTCGAAATGTGATATTGCTAAAGTTGTATATTTGGGGCAACAGACGGACTGGTTCTACTCGGGTGTATTTGATAATTCTGTAGATACACAAAGTCAGGAATTATTGAATAAGATCCTGAATATTGTTGATAACTCTGTGCCAACTATTAAGCTAAAAACTACGAAGGAAGGAATTTCAATTAAGAAAGCGCCATGGGAATGCTCTAGACTTCAGCATTCTAGGAAAACAAAGGATAAAGCTTGGCACTGTTTTGATACGTCCCCCACACATTACAATCTTATGTCTGCTATTGAGGCTCAAGGTCAATATAAGACTATAGAACGGGAAAGTAAGGAAAGTTATGAGATAAAATTGGCTAAAGGAATAAAGTACAATTCTAAGCAGTTCTATGCATACTTACGTAGTAAGAAAAAGTCCAATTCCACTGTGTCTAAGTTGAAAAAGCCTAATGGAGAATTTACAACTAGTGTAAAGGAGTCTGCTGATTTGCTTGTCAAATCGTTTGCAACTGTTTTTACAAACGAGACTTCACTCACTTGCGATTGTAACATGGATATTATCGCTGTTAAACAAATTGATCCACTAATAATTAGTGACTATGATGTGAAAAATGAGCTGCTGGCTCTAGATGTCTCAAAGTGTGCTGGGCCAGATGGAGTTCATCCAAAAATTGTTAGAATTTTAGCGGGAAATGATAATTTTGTGAGTGCCGTAACAGCTTTATATAGATCTATTTCAGACGTCAGACAATTCCCAGAAGCTTGGAAGAGAGCAATTATAATTGCATTACATAAAATGGGGCATTTAGTGATGCTGGAAATTATCGACCAATTTCTCTAACTTGCATCCTATGTAAAGTGTATGAAAAGCTTTTGTTTAAACATCTGTACAGTCATGTTAAGGGATTTATTAGTCGGAATCAGCATGGGTTTATGGAAGGGAAGTCTTGTCTCTCTAACTTGTTGGAATCACTACAATATATTATCACGTTTTTGGATAGTGAAGATCCTGTTGATCTTATATATTTGGATTTTCAAAAAGCTTTTGATAAGGTTGCACACGAAAGATTGTTGTTAAAGTTAGAAAGTTACGGAATTACTGGGCAGGTTCATGACATTATAAGGAACTTCCTGACAGGTAGATCAATGGCAGTACGTGTGGGAGATCATATTTCATCATGGGAGCCTGTTACTTCTGGAGTCCCCCAAGGGTCTGTTTTAGGACCCTTGTTATTTATATTATTTATTAATGATATGCCACAAGTTACTAAATTTAATACTGTGCTTTTCGCTGATGATTCCAAAGTTATTGGTAATGCATATTATCCGGAAGATATTCAAACAGACATCGACTGTCTCAGTAGGTGGTCAGAAATATGGCAGATGAAATTTAATGTGGAAAAGTGTGGTGTACTTCACATCGGAGAGAGCAATCCGCAACATGGCTATACATTGGATGGTATTCAACTAAAAAGTGTACAGAAAGAAAAGGATTTGGGGGTAACCTGGTCTGCCGGGAAGTCCTTATTTGATGATCATATTCGAGAAGGAATCGGAAAGGCCAAGAGGATGAAGTGAAGTGTTGGTTCCTCTTTACAAGGCCTTTGTGAGGCCCCATCTGGAGTATTGTGTGCAAGTTTGGTCCCCGATAGCAAAGCATGGTAATTGGGGTATAATTATGGCAATTGAAAAATGTCAAAGGGATTTTACTAGAATAATTCATGGTATGGGTTTTCTCAGCTATAGTGAGAGACTTCAAAAGCTGGGACTGACAACACTTCTCGAACGTAGAATGCGGGGTGATCTTATTGAAGCATATAAGATTATTAACGGACATGTTAACTATGGCCATCAAATGTTTAACCATAATTTGCATTATAGTACTCGTAATTTATGCAATGTATCATCCTGTAGGACCAGATTTGCGTTAGATTGTTTTAGCGTAAGAGTAATTAAGTATTGGAACAATTTACCAAACTCTGTTAAGTATGCACCTAGTGTAAATGCCTTTAAGGCAGGACTTGATGATCTAAAAAGTTATAACCCGGATTCTCGTCACGGATATTGGTATTTATCGCACGAAATCTTTAACATAATTCCGGATAAGAATGACCATGTTACTTATCTTAAATTGCATCCAGAGGTTGCTATGCGAAGACATATTTCTTGTTTCTAATTTTTAATAATTGTAATATATATTACTGTAAGATTTATATTTCTGTAATTTTCTTAGATGCATGAGTTGCCCAGAGAGGCATAATTAAATCTTATCTTATCTAGTTCAATTCATTTCGAACGCAAAGTTCTATTAGTTGCTTTCTCAAATCTTCATGCAAGGTTTAGATATGAAGATGGACATATATAAATAATTATATTCTAGGGCTTGTTCAAGAATATATTTGCCACAGAACATTAATGTAGCCTATCGCATATTTTTAGGTATACATACTAACTGGAGATATTACCTTATGCCTTATTTTCGATATATAAAGTTTAATTGTGTTACCAACCCTATAAGGTTGAATAACAATGCATGCAAGCGTATTTGACGTTGCAAATGCAAAACAAATAAATGCAGTGAAGTACTGAATAACCATCAACATTTAACCACAACTCCAGGCGTAAGCTTCCACAGTCGAAAGCTTGTATTCAAATCCAACATTTTAAAATCTTTTCAACGTATTTTTAACGTATCAAGCCAAAGTCACTACGCACGACATATATGTTTCATAATTATATATCAATACTGCATGGAAACGCCGAAAATGTTTAATCCTAGTCGGATAGAATTTTGCGGCGGCCTCATGTTTCATGCTGTTGTGTTTATAAATTTAAACTGATAACCTTTGCCCAATATACTCTGTAGCTGTACTCATATGGTAATTCTTATTCTCTACATTTACACTAAAAATAAAAGTAGAAAAATAAAACTTAACAAGAACGCAAAAATTAATGAAAACAAGAATGATTACATATTTCAATATGTTAGCAGTCACTATTCACTAACTGCTCTGGCGATATGCCCGCACGAATCAATCACTTGCCCATTTGAATCCTCATGCTTTCGCGTCTATGACTATAACATCTTTAAAAATTTTCAACTTATTTTAAGCCAAAGTCAATATGCTAGCCGCCACTATTCGCTAACTGCTTTAGCAATATGCCTGCACGCGAAATCACTTGCCCATTTGATCCATCTGACAAATATTTTTCCAACAGAAAACACTGTGTCCAATGGATCCAATGGATCTATTGGACACTTTCGTTTGGCTATTTTAGTGGCCTAGTATCTACATGACGTCCATGTGCTTGTCATTACGTCATTCAAATACATGCTAATTGACCAACTGAAAAAGCCAATGTCCGATGGAAATTCCACTTGTCCATTGGATCCAATGGACAAACAAACTTCCAATGGATATTTCCAGGTCCATTGGATCCAATGGACACTTTCGTTTGGATATCTCATTGGCCTAGTATCTACATGACGTCCATGTGCTTGTCATTACGTCACTCAAATACATGGTAATTGGCCAACTGAAAAAGCAAATGTCCGATGGAAATTCCACTTGTCCATTGGACCCAATGGACAAACAAAATTCCAATGGGCATTTCCAGGTCCATTTGACAAATGGAATGTCCAATGGCCTTTTGATTTTTCTATCGGACATCCTGCATGGGTATTGGACATTAATCGAAAGTTGAATTTGAAATATTACATCATACACCGTCTTTTTCTTCGTGCTTTCGGGTCGTTGACTTTCAATATAATTTTGTATTAATAGCACTGTCGCTGTCGACTATCTCGTTGCTATAAGCGGCTTCATTATCGTTTGGTTTGAAAACCTGTGCACTTGTACTCGGAATAGCTTTGTCTGGGTAATGAAATTCACTCTTACTATGTTCACTTTCGTCCATATAATCCTTTCGTCGGAGTACATTGTAAACAATTTTTCGCTTTCCCCCCCAAAAATTATTTGTTTTGCCGCAAAACGCGAAAGGTCCGTTATGTGTGATACGGACCTCTCGTTGGCCAATCAGAATGCTCCATTTACGTTAAAATAACACCTCGGATTTTGTTTTAAATAGTTCGAATCTTGAGTTTACAAAATGTTAATATTCAGAGTGTGTTTCATTTTACATTTTGCGAAATTGTATACTAAATAGGGGATTTAAAATAATTTAAATAGGGGATTTAAAGCCTTAGTTCTGTCGGCACAACGGCGTAATCGTTTACTTCACATGCAGCCTGTTTTTTCCCTCTAAATCCTTTTTCTCAGCCATTTTCCAAACCAAGTCGCAGCCTGTGAAATTATCAGAAAACCTTAGTGCTTCGAGGTACTTCTTCTTCTTCTTATCTTTGAAACAAAGTTCTACGGTGCGGCGGATTCTCTTCTCAAAAAAAATCTTGCAATTAAGGTGGCTCCCTATAGTTGTCCCTATTTGCCCAAGATCTCCGCAGTACAGGTCTATTAATGCAGATTGCGCATTCTTTTCTACTTGGAGGCAATATCTAACATCAGTGGAATATTTAGAACTCACTCTTGACAATGGCACTAGCTGTTGCCATGGCAACACGGCGAAGCTACAAAACCGGCTTATTTTAGCCACAAAATTGTCTTTATCTGAAAAATGAATCTGGTGCCTATCTTTTTTATTTCATATATCAATAGAGCATGATGTTCTCCAACTATTGAGAAAATTTAATAAACTATATTTTTACAGAGGGATTTTTTTATTAAAAGTAAAAATTTTATAACAATATTTCCACTGTAAGGAATATTTTAAAATTTAAAATATATAAAATTTACTGAATTTAAAATTTGTGGTCAAAATTTGTGGATATGTTACCGATGAAAATAATGAGTAAGATGCAATTCAACTTGTAAAAAATCCTCTTGTAATTCGCGAAATTCCCCTTATACAAAAGCGTCGCTGACTAGTGAAAGATTTTACGCTGGCACAAAACGAGCTTTCATCCAGAGAAATCGAGTGGCATTGTTGTCTTTACTGTTTTGTTTTTGTCAACTTTTCGATTTATTTAAGTGCCATGGACAGCCAAGGAATCTGATTGTGAAGGATCAAATCGATGAAAGGTTAACGACAAGTGAGTTCAAGTGAGTTGAGTTGAGTGAAGTAATAGGTGGATGTGATTTTTGGTTGGTTTTGTACTTTTGCTAAAAAGGAACAAGGCGTTATTGCTATGAAACTATGATATTTTTTCTGTTTAATCATTTTAACATTATAGAATTACGAAAGTATTTCTGAACGACTTCTAAATGAAGGTATTTCTAAACGACTTATTATTATAGGTTTGTGAACAATTTAGCAAAGGTTTTACAGTTGACAGTGTGTTATTAAAAATGCTGTATGGACTCGCAATTGATTTAGCACTCAAAAACGAAGGATCAGTCAACGCTTTTTTCATTATTAAACCTTTCAGAGAAAGCATTTTTTTAAAAAAGCCCGGTCAATTTTTGTTTTGTTTTGATCGTGCGGTTGTGTGGGATAGTTCACACACTGGTCCCGCGAACATCCCGCATGCTATATTGTACGGAGCCACCTTAAATCTGTGACTTTGTAGCATCAATACACTTGCATAATGGACTATGCCCGCCTGTAAATGAATATCACTGACTCGCAATGGCAGTTTAAAAAATATTGTTTATTGCATTGTATATATTGATATAAACCACCAAATCAGACATATCATACCACCTGATTTAGACTCTATATGCATAGAAATAAGCAAACCACATAGCAGACCATTTGTGGTTGTTACAATTTATAGACCACCAGATGCATCGTCTGATTTTTTATCCATCTTAAAAACCAATTGAAAAAGATTGATAATGAAAAAAAGGGAATTTATGTTCTTGGTGATTTTAACTTCGATATCTTTAATTAATTTAAGCCCATTTCTGATCATCCTTGCTCCAAATTTATCAATTATTCCAGTTAATTGATGAAGCCACACATGCACGTGTCACTAAGACCTTCTCTACACTTCTTGACCATTTTATTACCAACGAACGAGAGAAAATTTGCAAATGTGGTGCAATACACACATGAACCAGTGACCACAATCCAATTTATGGCATAAGAAAGATTAATGTGAGCCACAATAATGAAAATATTGTTGAGATTAGGAATATAAAAAAGTTCGATGAGGAGCAGTTTTTGTGGGTAGCCGCGCATGCGCAGCTAACCACTATGTGAGAGACTGAAGCGCGATCTTCCGTTTCTCTGTGGCTCTGTGGCTCTGTAGCCTTCGTGTCCGCGGTGTCCTGCTGCGCGGTTCCTTTTATCCTTGAAATACGAACAGTCTATCGACCACAGGCTAAGTTCACTAACGCTCATACTGTACAGAGATGTGTATAAATTCTTAGTAAAGTCTTTATTGTAATATGTTTTGTCAGGTCGATAGTCATTTCCAACGCATATAGAATCGAATTTGCCGTTTTTATAATCACAGCTTGTACAAGGGTTATTGGGGTTAATATTAGCGCACGGTGTCTGTTTTATATCGTGTAATGTCATATTTAAACACACACATCAGTTTGATCAAACATTTTATA